TTTTTGGTACCAGGGATTGAACGTGGGTCCTTGCGCTTGCGCAGCAGGTGGTGAAACCACTGAGCTAAATCCCCAGCCCTGCATCTTCTAATCTATTCCATTGATCCTTGGGTCTGTTCTTTTTTTGCCAGTACCATGCTGTTTTTATCACAGTAGCTTTGTAATATAGTTTCAAGTTGGGGATTGTGATACCCCCAGCCATGTCTCTGTTGCCTAGAATTGCTTTTGCTATTCTAGGTCAAAGAGAAGCCATCTTGAAGTGGATGACAGCAAAAAGTTCCAGCCAGCCTTCCTTTGCTCAGTGCCTGGTGGCCCTGTCTAGGTGGAATGGCTTAATGGTGACACACTTCTCTGCACAGTGGCCCTGCCCTGTCCCTCAGTCGGTTGGAAACCTTGTGTTGGACACACGTGCCTCTGGACATTGGATCATTACTGCCATGTCCCACCACTGACCCTTACCCCAGTGACCCCCGCCACACACAGGATCTAATTGATTGGAATGGTGGAGAAGACATGTTTAACCCTTTTGGTATACACCTTTGAGGTTTTTTTTTTTTAAATTTGGTTTGGGACATTAAAAGATTTAGTTTCCCCATTTGTAAAATCAGGATAATGATGTCCTTTGCAGCCTTAAGCGTTGTGAGGATTAAATGAGTATATACAGTAAAAGTACCAAGGGCACACAATAAAATCAGTTGCTATTATTCTCTGTAAAAGATGTTTCTAGTAAGATGTTTCTTTGTACCTATTCTCTCTCAAAAGAATATTTACGGAGGTATGTTGGAAGGGGAATTACTGGATCATTCCATCTCGATTTATTGAGCAGCTGGTGGCTACTAGGCATTGAGAATATAGGCAGGAGAAGGAGCCAAGGTTGTTTCCCAGTAATATCATGGAGCTAACATTCTGGATTAGGAGAAGCGAGATAAACAGATAAAAGTTTTTTCCATAATAAACAGTGATGTAAAGAAAAAGCAAAGCAGGCAAGGAGTGTGAAAGTAGATTAAGGGGGTCAGGGCATACCTGCTGGTGACCTTGGGATGAGGAGAAGCTAATAGGGTATGGGGATGGAGCATCCCAGGCAGACCCAGGAACTGCACAGACACTGAGGTGAGAGTGTGGTGAAATGGATTGTGTGGACACAGTCAGAGGCCATGGGCACTGTAGCACTGTGAGTATGTCACTCAGCTTTCTGTTGCTATGACAAAATACCTGAGACTATCAGCTTATAAGGAAGAAAGGTCTATTTTAGCTCATGGTTTATAGTTGCTTGTCCTTCTGGCTTAGGCCCATGGCAGCACAGCATGTCAAGGTGGGGCACATGGCAGAGAAGGCCTGTTCACCTCATGGTGGCCAGGAAGCAAAGTGGAAGGTAGAAGTGGGACCAGGGACCCAGTATCCCCTTCCAGGGCACACTCCCCATGACCTAGCTTCTTTCTACCAGCCCCACTTCTTAAAGGTTCTGACACCTCCCAGGAGTGCTGCAGGCTGGGACCCAAGGCTTTAGCACATGAGTCTTTGGGGATTTTCAAAATGTAAATTCCAGCAATGAGCTCTTAAAAAATGCTGATGCTTGGGCCTAGGGATGCCAAATTTATCAAATTAATGTATTGGGTTTCAGTTGTACATGAATAATTTTTAAGTGTGAGTATACCCCATTATTTCACAGGACATTCATTGTGTTTCTGACATTTAAATATAAATGTGTGTCCTGTGTTTTATCTGGTAGCTCTACTTGACCCTTTCCTCAGAAATTCTGATTCTATTGGTTTGGAATCAGGCCAGATATAGGTATTGATCACAAGCCCACCAGGGATTTTGCCTTGTCTGACTACATAAGGGCTATGGATGGAGAACCATAGAGGATTTTGGACAGTGAATTGATATGATCTTATCTTTTAAAAAGATCCCAGGGGCTGCCATGGTGGTGGTAGTGGGGACAGAGGTACAAGAGTAGACAGAGACAGCTGTTTAGGTGATAATCCAGACCAGAGAAAGGACCTGTATTTGTTGAGGCCCAGTTTGAGCTCAGCACAATAAAAGTATATAATGTAGGCTAGGTGACTGGGTCTTGCCCCACCTGACCTATCCAATTTGGAATTTCTCAGGGCTGCAGGGGCCCAGGAATTTATATTTTCAACATGCTCCTCTGAACCAGGTGTAGTGGCACACGCCTGTAGTCTCAACACTAGAGAGGCTGAGGCAGGAGGATCTCCATGAATTCGAGGAGAGCCTGGGCTACATAGTGAGTTCAAGCCCAGCCTGAACTGCATAGTGAAAC